GGCGTGTGCTTTGCAGGACGAGTGCAATGTTTTGTGTAAATTTGTCGACAGAGAAACGAGTTCCTGAGAAGCGCACCGCTTTCCATCTCGAACAAAGTTTGGTTTTTGTTATTTACTATTTCATCGGTCTTAACTTGTTTCTTGTACCGTTGCAGGCTGGCGCTCGCGGAGGCCCAGGTCGACCTCCTGCCGGCCAGTTACCTGAAGCACGTGCGCCCGAAGACGCCAGGTAAAGGCCTTGCTGAGGGGGACTAGAAGGGGGGGGTGCAAAACTACACGAGCGCACATAACTCATGGAAACACACACGGTAAGTCGCAGCATATTGATGATTACAATTTTTGTAGTAGTGGAAGTTGCCTTACTCGCACCTTTTCTACTGCTGCTGCTACTGCTGTCACCACCACCGCCACTACTACTACTACTGTTACTGCTAGTAATGATAATCAGAGTAATTTTGGTAATAGTAATGGTAATGATGCTAATAACAATGATGATAATGATAGTGATGATAACAAGGACAATGATGGTAATAATGCGAATATATAGTGATATCAGTTTGTTATACTGTATTTCATTGTGATGTTATTCTCGGAGCTAAAACGTTCTTTGCTGAAATACTCCTATAAAGAAGGACTGAAGTGCAAGGCTGTTCATATCATCCGTCAGGGAGATAACATGGCATAAGCGGAATTTATGGAATATACTGCTGTCAAACTTGGGCTTGAAATATAAATAAATAGCTGGGCAAAAGCATAGTAATAAATTTGTATTTTCTTTGCACAGATTATAATTCATAATCATAATCATAGTTCAACTATGTACCAAGGATCAGTAATCATTAATGAGTTGGATTCTACCGTGATCAATGGCGCTGCCAGTGGATGGCAACCCCAGTCATTCCCTGTACAGAAAGGGTCGTTTAAAAGCAAATGAACAGATAGCACGTCACAGCAACAAAAATATCTATTGTAACAATGGAATTCAACTAAACCTTTGAAACATTTAACCTTTGGCTCTGCTGCCGAGGCTCTTCCCTCCTTTCGCCGCGCCAACAGTCACTCTTATCGCGAAATCTATCTGAAGTTGAGGGGGAGTCTGCGGGAGGTTGACGAGGAGTAAGGAGCGCAAAAGTAATCAAAGCGCTTCCTCTAAGTCCGGCGACGGAGTGGATACCTGAGCATCGTCTCCGCAATCAATCAAATGACATTCGACTTCCTCTTCGACAATATGCCGACGTTAATTTCGCTCAAAGTTGCACTTCTATAGGTATTATATAGATAAGGAGAGAGGAGACTGAGCAGTGTCGCTTCACAAAATGTGGCAATAATACAGATGAAGAATTTCATCCACGAAGTCTTAATTATGGATGGAGTCTCAGTCCCTAGTTCCTGACCCGCCGCGTTGGGGGGGGGGGGGGGGGAGCCGGGCTCCCTCCGCGAAGGGTCTGGCGGAGCGAAGGCGGCCGTGCCTGTCAGTGCGAGGAAGAGTGAAGTGATGAAGTATAGATAAGATATAATGAAATAGTAAATATATATGGAATATGAAAAATCCCATTTGATATGAGGTCACTTTTTACAATGTTATGTGTTTCATAGTGCAGTCTCTCTCTCTCTCTCTCAAAGTCAAAAGTCTCTCCCTCTCTTACTCCCCCCTCTCTCTATCTCTCTCTTCCGCTTTCTCTGCCTTCCTTTCCATCCTAATCATAGGAAATCGTTCTACCGAAGCGCCGCCCCTGACCACGCCTCCCTCGACAGATGGCTCGCCCTTGCGGGTGGGCGTCAGCTGGCACGTCAGCCGCATCCACCAGGTCGACGTCGACGCCATGGTACGGGGGAGTCCACGGGGGGAGGCGGGGGGGGGATATGATGACGTTGATATGATGTTGATAAGAATGATGATGATAGAAATGATCGTGATGATGATGATAGTGATTATAGTAATGGTGATACTACTAATAAGGATAATATTAATGATAATGATAATAATTACAATGACAATAATGATGATGATAATGATAACAGTAATACTGATAATGATGATTATGATAGTAATGATAATGATAATAATCGCAGTATTGAGAACAGTAATGATAATATGATGATGAGAATGATAATAGTAATGGTAATGATAATAATGACTACTAATGACAATTTAAATGATCACAGTAATGCTAATGATAATAATGACAAGAATGATAGCCGAGAACGCTATGAACACCGCTGAGAGAGAGAGAGAGAGAGAGAGAGAGAGAGAGAGAGAGAGAGAGAGAGAGAGAGAGAGAGAGAGAGAGAGAGAGAGAGAGAGAGAGAGAGAGAGAGAGAGAGAGAGAGAGAGAGAGAGAGAGAGAGAGAGAGAGAGAGAGAGAGAGAGAGAGAGAGAGAGAGAGAGAGAGAGAGAGAGAGAGAGAGAGAGAGAGGAGAGAGAAGAGAGGAGAGAGAGAGAGAGAGAGAGAGAGAGAGAGAGAGAGAGAGAGAGAGAGAGAGAGAGAGAGAGAGAGAG